AAATTATTGGTGCTTCAGAGGGCTGCAGCAGCGGCACATTGTCAGCTCTGCTGCCAGACACAAACACGGGCCTCGGGCTCCCTATAATTATCAGCACAATGTCCGCAGAGGAGGGAAACACTGCGTGTAACAGATTCTGAAGAGCTGCATGCTGCTTTATTGATGTAAACCTCATAAGTGAGATGCTGAAGYTGTGGCCAGTTGGACGGAAACTCCTCCAAAAATCATGCTCAGTTGAAAAAATGAGTTTTTACTCTTAATTCCTAAATGTGAGGAATTAATAGTTGATAAAACTGCTGCTGGAGGATTTCTTTGGTCTTGCTGTGAATGGCAATGGGAGGATGCTCTGTTTTTTGTTCATAGATACCAAGTGGTGGGAGGCACAGGGAGCAAAGGGGAGGACAGTGAAACCTAAACAAAGGACAGTATAGCAGCGTATCAAACGTTTCCACACACTCATCTACWAACATTCTACAACAGCTTGTGTTGCTATACACAGAAATGTTAAAAATGAAATATACTTTCTCTTTGTTTATATTTTACGCATCACAAACTTTGATGTCATTGCGTTGTTTTGCTAGCCTGGAAAAAAAAGCTCTTTGCTCTTTGCTTTGCTCCGTACAGAGCCTCTGGACTCTTTGCTGTTGAGAAACAATTGCTTTKTGGAGGCGTGGACTCTGTTGAAGTTTTAAACAATTAGATCTAATTTTATATTCAATCGCTGACATTTGGCTGTGACGTACTGTAGTAAGCCATATTGACAGGGAAGGAAGCTATACACTAAGAAAGTAACCTGAAATTGTGTGTGCTGTAAACAACCATCCCCTACTGGGAAGAAAGAAGTACTGAACTGAATGAGATGGCTGTAGATGAGTGCGGCAGGCTTTGTGAGACCAGTTTAATTTATTTTGGAAGCCTTGTCAACACAAACTGACTGACTTCATTCATTTCCTCCACTGCCGTTGCTGTTTGATGATTGGCTCGATTGAAATTCTACCAGAGAAATCCACGTCAATGGGAGAAAGCCCAGATGGAGCAGTGAAGGGAAGGAATTGGCAAGGCCAAATTTTTTGCACTGACCATTAAAAATCTTTCCCTCTTCAGGGGTCACCACAGAAAGACAACCTCCTCCATCTCACTACAACTACTCCCTTCTGACTGCATCCATGTTTCTCCTGGCAGCTGCAGGGGTAGACATAACCATTGTTTAGGCTGTCCGAGACAACCTGTTTTCATTTCGGGCAACCAGATCCTGTCTCCTGGTTGTCCGGTGGACAACCAAGAAAAAAAAGACCTCGATTAAAGTTCTCTGCCACGGGCGTCCATCATTTGTAAAAATGAAAGGGAGAAAAAAACTAGGTAAAGCTGAACAGAACACTAAACTGTAACTTTTAATAAGGTCATGTACACAGTACACTCCTATTTAGGTGAAAATGTTTGACCTAGGAGCAGAAAGTTTATGAATATTGGGTAATCTCTAGATTTTATTAAACATTTTTACTGCTTTACTCCCTGAGCCTTAAATACTCTATTTCAAAGAAGAGAATGAGGATGTTTCATTCATGCAGATCCTGTCAACCTGGCTGACTGAGAACAATTATACATTATACAATTATATATCCTTATGTCTACCCATGCAGCTGCATTTCTAACATCCGTCTAACAATAACCCCTGTCCCTCCTCTGGACATGTCCAAACCATCTCAGCCTGGTCTCTCTAACTTTATTTCCTATTTGTTGAACCTGTGCTGTACCTCTGATGATCTCATTACTAATCGTATCCATCCTTATCACTCCCTAGGAGAACCATACCATCTTCTACTCTGACATTTGCAGTGTTGTCTCCTGTCTTTTTGCTTCATCTCCAAACCATACGCTGGCCCCTGCTCTCTTGTAGATCTTACTTTTGATCATTGCTGCCACCGTTTTGTCACAAATCACTCCTGAAACTTTCCTCCACCCATCCTGCACCATGGTGACTTTTGCTCCACCTGCCATCTTCTTGTTCACACTGACTTTCATTCCTCTTCTTTCAAGTGCATACCTCCACCTCTCCAAGTTCTCTTCCACAGATTATATCAACATTAACCAGTAAAAAATAAACAAGATTTTTTGGGGGATTTTTTGATCGTTACTGGGACTCTTTTAATGTATACTATGTATACAGTAAAACTTACTATGTGGGGACAAAAAAAAGAGATTAAAGACCTAGTATTCCTTGAATAAAATGTATATTGCCCACTCCTTTCATGACATACTTTTAAACTAGAATCATCTTCTGATGAGAACACATTGAAGTTGTAGCCATTTTTGTTTCACGCCATCTGTTAGTGCTCAGAGTATGTTGTGAATGACTCATAGTTGCAAATACAGGTTTTTTTCTTTTTTTTTTTTTTTGGCCAAAACTTTCAGGCATCTCATAGAAAAGCTGAAAATGAAAGCGTTAACTTTTTAAACCTGTAATGATCCCAAGCAAACAACCAAACCAACAAAAATTGACTTCACCAGAATACAATTAAMGTTTTAAGCATGTTCTAATCAGTCTACATCTAAAAATGGACTATCTGCAGGGTAAGCTAAAGAGGGCTGCACACAAGAGATGCCCTCACAATCTGATGAATTTTGATAACTTTATAGAGTGGGCAAGTATTACCAATCTAAGGGCCATGTTCAATATATGTAACCGTATTATTCAAGTTATTGCAATCTTTATTTCTTTTTCATTAATTGTGATTGCTCTTTATTTCAAAAGAAATGTTATTCTTGGACCAAACAAGTTCTATTGCCCCTCATGTACCATGTGATGACAGTGACAGTACAATCTCGTTGATTAGTTTCAGTGTATGCACACTTAYTGGTATACGTCCCAGTAAAGATGTAAAAGGTTTAGAACTGATCCATCATGACTTTAATTTATGGCCTTGCCTTTTAACTGGTAACATTTTTTCTAACTGCCGTGTCTCTGTGCGTCTTTGTACAAAGTAATAAAACCTAACAATAAGCACAATGCCCATTTGTGCAAACAGGAAAAAAAAAAAGGCTTAGGAAAAAGAGCTCCAAGTGCTTTGCTTGGCCTTTGACTCGGAGCATACCATGTCTGAGCTCTCCAGCTCTGTGGAAACAACGGTGGGAGGACGTCTGCAGACGGCGAGCCTCAGAGGCGTGAGGAAAACCATGTTGCTGCTCAGATCTGTGCACTCCCACAGCTGCTGATTGTGTCTTTTCACACTGGTTAACAAGTAGTTAAAACATTCATACACCGAGCAAAAGAGACGAATATTGTCCAGAGACACAAAGCAAATAAATGGGATTGTGTACTCGTATTTCTAAACAATAAGCAATCGAGTTTCCTTTCGGCAGACTTGTCTGATTGACGGTTTTCCTCTTTGAATGAAGTGATGAAAGATCAAAATCAAAGAGGAACGCTTTGAGTAAACAGTTGACAGAGGAACTACCAATGAGCTGTTGTTTGAAGCCCTCCCCTTCCCTTCCTAGGCTCACAATAGTCTAGCCAACCCACCCTGTAACATACAATGGCGGCGCTAAGGTAAAACGTGCATGAATGCAAAGGAAGCAGGACATCATATCGATAAGAGGATGAATTTATGGCAGACAATGCAAAGTTTTAATTTGTATCAGCTTAATCGAGGGCTCAGGGGGTCCCAGCCAGCGTGTGCAGTGCATCTGCCAACCACAGCAGCAGTTGACAGCTGTGTGAAACAACATGTGCAACACCATTCACCRGATCTGCGCTGTTTGACGTAAACGGGAGCCGTTTCAAAACTTCTCTTTTACATTTTCTCTCCTAGCTAAACCCTCCCTTGAGAAACAAAGATGCATTTTTAGGTCAAAGTTTCCACATCCTCCATCAGAAATCATGAATGGGGAAAAAAAAAAAGTCATAACCAAGATCCACCCTCACTCCTCGCTTCCCAGGCACTGCCCCCTCAACTCTTCAGAGCACAATGGCTTTTGATACAAAAAGAGCTCTGGAGGGACAGGAAATTCTTCTGACTGCTGATTCCAATTTAAAAAAAAAAAGTGGCAGCAGTTTCAGGAGAGATAACCGGCTGTCCCTGTCCTTTCACAGCGTCACATGTAAGGCTTTAAGGTCAAACTTCACATGGAGAGCTGCAGAACAAACAACACATGAGCAAACAGAGACAGAAAGGAAGCATTCCTGCACAGAAAGTCCTGGACTTTGACTCTGCTGAATATATTTACAGCAACACGTTTCGAAACAGTGGCCTTAAGCCGTTCAAGCCCCAATTTCATTATCTTTTTATTGTTCAAATTCAACCTATTTTTGTGTCCGTGACAACGATCTTCTTTGTCAAGCGTTTCCTGACTTTAGAGTGACCTCACTGCTCAATTCACACCCTGCTCTTTTAAAAAAGTTGCACAGAGGAAGCTGACCTTACCAACGCCAACCCGGTTCCTTCTTTCCACCGCGCTGTGAAACTCATATCAAGTGCAGGCAGGTGAAAGGAGGAGGGAGAGGCGAGGGGCCTTGTAGCCTGATCTCAGCTCTGCGCCTCAGGGTTACACACGGCAAAGTTTCAAGGCCGGTGACGACTTCTGCCAAAGACTGACTCAGATGTTACACCACACAGAAAGACAATGATCTCACCTCAAAGATGAGGCGGAGGGGYGTCATGGTTCATACTTAGAAGAAGGTAGTGATTCTGTCTTATTTTTTAACTGTTTGAGGATTCTTATTGAAAAGTTGTCCCTGGTGGGACAGAGTGACACTTCAGGGAAATCACTACTCTGAAACTGGACCGGCCATCATTTATTCACAACCAAAGCCTCTCTCACACAAGCAACACACACGCAGGAGCAGAAAGGAAACAGACCGAGGCTCAGTTTGTTCTTCTTTCAACTATCGAAAAAAAAAAAAAAAACTCCCTAAAACTCTCGCTTCCTCTTTTACGAGCTCGGCTTCTTTCAAAAGGGAAATCTTACGTTAGCAGCTGATTGAAAAGGCACCACTTCCGTGCTGATCTGGATATATATTTCTTTTTATTATTTCAACAGCATAGCATAAGAAAAAAAAATTATAACAGCATGAATTTTTAACTGAACTGACAGGACCTTCCAGGCTGATTGTGTCTTATTTGATAATAATTAGAAAAAGCAGAGAAACAGAACGGGGCTTGCAGTCACTGACGCACCTGCGGGTGGTGGTGGTGTAAAGAAGCTGAGAATGCCGTAAACACTTGCTGGAGTTCAAAAGTCAGTTAAGGAGCATGGAAATGCACACAAACCAGCAAGTTGCTAACCACCCAAAGTGCAAACTCAGCTGTCGTAGGAACCGYCTCAGTATCGGGGCACCTAGATCCCTGCTAAGGCAACGGAAACTACAAATACTTAACAGTCATGGAAGCTCTGAGAAACAAAAGTTAGAACTCATATAATAAGACTGGTGGTAACAGATTCAGACCCTGATACAACAAAAAGCATAAATCCATATCACAGTGAGTGTTTTGGAGTATCCACAATAACAACACGTAATGGATGTGAACCACCGCACCAGAGACAAGTAATCCCCACGTGTCTGCGTCCGTCCCGTTACAATCGACTCTGAAAGCAGGTGAGTTTCTGAGGTCCGAGCACATCCTTGATGCACATTCTTACACATAAACAGGAAACAGTTTAAGTCACGAGGGTGATATGCTGATTTAGGCGATGGTTTCTAGACTTTTCCCATCCTTTGGATAYGCAGCTTGGTGGTGAGAGTGCAGAACGAGCTAAAGCAAATGTATGTCCTGCATTCCTTTACAGGAATTTCTAAACAGAGGAAAAGTAAATAAATTGCTGAAATAGGTCAAAAGTAAGCTTATTGTATATTTTAGCAGAGCTGATTATAGAAAGAAAATAACTTTTTTTTCGTTGCTTAAATAAAATTTGGGTTAAAGAAAAGCTATTGTCATCAAAGAGAATATAAAACCAAAAAGTAATCGTGACTTCTTTTAATACATTTTCAGTAATGAGATCATGGTGATAATTGCTTTGAATTGCTTTTTTTTTAAGCTACATTTTTTTCCTCCAAGTGTCCAGGCTGGTGAGAGGGGAGGAGGAAACATTAGGATTTGTAATTTGAGGTAAGCCAAGTCAGGCCCTCGTACAGTCCATCCCCCGATGTCGCACATGAGGGCTGAACGTACCAATTCCTATCTCTGATCCGGGTCAGACCCAGCTTCTCCTGGATCTCGTGGGGCTTCATGGCGTCGGGGAGGTCCTGCTTGTTGGCAAAGATCAGGATGATGGCGTCCCTCATCTCCCGGTCGTTGATGATCCGGTGGAGCTCCTGCCTCGCCTCGTCGATCCGGTCCCTGTCGGCACAGTCCACCACAAAAATCAGGCCCTGGGTGCCCGTGTAGTAATGTCTCCAGAGCGGTCGGATCTTGTCCTGTCCACCCACGTCCCAGACGTTGAACTTCACATTCTTATAGTTGACGGTCTCCACGTTGAACCCGACCGTTGGGATGGTGGTGACCGACTGTCCCAGTTTCAGCTTGTACAGGATGGTGGTTTTCCCAGCAGCATCAAGTCCAAGCATCAATATTCTCATCTCCTTGTTGCCAAAGATCTTTGAAAGCATTTTCCCCATCTTGTCTGATGTGCATAAATACTTTGTTACAGGAAAAAGAAATGTAGTTTTCCCCCTCAGGAGTGGAAAATTACGTCTTGCTCCAATGGAGAGGTCTCAGTTTCAGTGTGCAAAAGCTCCACGCGTGATGGCAGCGGTGGGCTGACAGTAGTGTCAATGTTCAAGTTTGTACAATACAATTATCTGGACTGAGGTAATCGGACCTGAGCAGTTGGGAGAAACGGTGATTATGGAGCCCTCACAGATTTGGGTGGGGATATATTTTCATCTTCCACTGCCCGCCAAAGCAAGAAGAAAAAATGTCATCTCTTCCCACAACTCCCTTCAAAATCCACAGTTTTCTTCTTTAAAATAATCCTCTTACTTCAAGGCGAGCTGGACCGGAAGCAACTTTTATTTAATTAGTTGCTTACAAAAATAAAAAAAAATACAAATACATATCAGGCCCAGTCCAAGCCGGGGGTTCTCACTTCCTCCTTGGCTGCCGGCTGTCCACACTTCGCCTGCTTAGCGGTTTTTTTCCCCTCTTTCTCTTCCACTCGGTGATTTTCAAAGCGTGTAGATTTTCGTGCTTAAACCCGCTCGGAAATGTGAAGCTTTTTAATTTCCCCCCTGCTCCGCTTCTGTACCGGGGCATCCAGAAGAAGACCGACCTAAAGGTCACTGATTCATCCGACTTTCTTCTTCTCTTCCCCCTGTGACACAGGAGCGGTTAGGAGGAAGGGAGGGGTGTTAGAACAGAGGACAACTTTGGAGCTGAAACGTTACTCTCGCTGCTAACACAAATGCTAAGTACAAGCTAACATAAACTGAGAGCGGGGTACATACCTGCATTTGCGGCAGTCCTTCCCCAGTCCCCAGAGCCGTTTCTCCCCGCTCTCTTGCCGCCCTCGGTCTGTCTTCTTCCTCCCCTCCTCTGTGTCTCCCTCTCCAGCCACCAGTCACAGCAGTGGCGGGGCTGTGTTACCGGAAAAGGTGCGGACCCAGATCAGCCGCCACTTCCTCTACACCCAGATCTCCCACAGCTGATGCGTTCAGGAGCTCATTCATAGCTCGGGTATCAGAAAACTTTTTTAAAATAGCACTATTTAGAGCATCTGTTTCACTTAAGCCTCACGAACTTCTCCACATATATAACCCCTATTAACAACTTACATTTGAAACTAAAACTGGCACCTGTCTGGGAGGAAAGAWTGCTTCTCTACATTTTCTATTTTTTTCATATGTTATAATTTCCGATAACCCCTAAATATACTGTACGCCATTTCAAATGCGTGCAGCGTGAAATGCTCAGTAGCAGCATCGGTCCAATGCTTTGTGTTGACGCCATTTATACATTTAATATACCATTAGTAACATGTGACTTGCAGCACGACGAGAATACGCAAGGCTTTATTCACAAAACAAATAAAACTGTTAGGTAGTAATGATCTGAAGAGTTGGGGCTTTACCAACAGCGGTTCTTTCCGATTTGTTGAATCATTCATTCAAACAGTTTCCGCTGTACAGGGTGACGTGGAAAGGGCGGGGGAACTACAGTGTTTCAAACCCCACCCACCACACACACACACACAAACACTTTTCTCAGTCTAACTCATATCAGTCGCACACATGCCATTATTTTGTATACAGTGTTTTATTATATAACGCGCAACAAATTTGAACAAATCATACTGCTTTGCATTTTGGAAACCAGACACCTTATGTAGATTTTTACTTTCAATAAATGCAGTGACAAGCTTTTTCTTTTTAGGACTGTACTCAATACATTGAATGGGTGTAAAAATGTATCAGATGCGATTAATTTTACATTTTAGCTTTGCCACTTTAGCTCAAAAGGACGTTTTTGACAGCATCTTTTTTTTTTATCGTGATATATTTTAATAATGCTGTATTCATTTATATTGACTTATTCTTACATATTTGCCATTCAAATTTGTATTTTTCATTTAAATCCAATAAAATTACGTCATCAATTATAGGCTAGAATATATTTTAAACTTTTATATATGTTTTTTTGATCAATTGCAAACATTTTTAACTATAACATTGACTTTTTAACATATTATTTTTTGTTTCTACACACAAATAAAAAGCCTTCAAACAAACGATGCAAAAGGCATGATTTGGACAATCATCTTTTTGCTTTAGAAAACCCCAGATTTCCAAAACTGAAAGAAAAGTTAACGGATTGCATTTTGTTGGAGTGGCTAGTGTCTATCCTGGTCTGACTATCCTACACATTGGGGTTTATATCTGCTGGTTTGAATGGTGGGTAACTACAAAAAGAAAAAAATTGTATAGGTCTTCTGGACGGGTTCTTCTCTAATGAAACGTTTCGTCTCTCCTCCAAGAGACTTCTTCAGTCTGAGAGTTTCAGGCAAAATTCAGGCTTTTAAGCACTGCCTCCATATGACTGATACTCACATCACATGGCTATCGCTGACACCTATTAACACTTATTGTTAACAGGGGGTGGAGTGATACTGGCAATAGCCGGGCTGTAGGAGGGGGACAACTGAAAACGGAGGCCTCCACCTCTGTTTAATGATGGACRGTCTTCACAAAAATGGCGTCTTTTACTCCTCTCTCAAACCAACRTTCCTCTCTATCAAGAATGAGAACATCCTCATCTCTGAAAGAGTGACCGCTGGCCTGTAAATGAGTGAAAACTGTAGAGTTCTGGCCATTAGATGTAGCTCGTCTGTGTTGGGACATTCTTTTGAACAGTGGCTGCTTTGTTTCCCCGATGTATAACTGGTCGCAGTCCTCCTGGCACTTAACAGCATATACAATATTGCTCTGTTTGTGCCGGGGCACCGGATCTTTGGGGTGAACCAGCCTTTGCCGTAATGTGTTTCGGTGTTTGAAAGCTACTGGGACATCATGTTTAGAAAATAAACGTCTCAGTTTCTCTGAAACACCCGCAACATACGGAATAACCACTGGTTTGGGTCTGGGTTTGGGGTCTTCATTTTCACCTGAAGGTTGCATGGAGTCCTGTCTGTGTTTCCTGTCTGCTTTCAGGAAAGCCCAGTCAGGATAACCACACTGCTCCAGGGCCTGTCRTGTGTGTGATTTCTCTTTCTGCCTGGCTCCTGGGTTTGTAGGGACACTGTCTGCTCTGTGGTACAGAGTCCTGATCACTCCTAACTTGTGTTCCAGTGGGTGGTGGGAGTCAAAACGCAAATATTGGTCTGTGTGGGTGGGCTTACGATAYACGCCAGTTTCCAACCGTCCTCCATCCGAAACCGAGACATCGCAATCCAGGAACGCCAACCTGCCATTTTTTACATCCTCTCGTGTGAACTTAATATATTCATCCACAGAGTTGATGTGATCAGTGAAATGTTGGACTTTCTGGGCTTTAATTTTAACCCAGGTGTCGTCAACATATCTGAACCAATGGCTCGGTGGCACCCCTGAAAAAGACATCAAGGCTCTTTTTTCCACTTCCTCCATGTACAGATTTGCAACAATAGGAGAAACTGGGGATCCCATGGCACACCCATGTTTCTGTCTATAATATTGCCCCCCGTACGTGAAGTAGGTTGACTCCAGGCACAGTTTGGGTTGGTAACTACAGGCTTCTACAGAACTTGAAGAGAAAAAAAGGCAATTTTTTTATTATGCAATTGCTAATTAAATAAATCTAATAAAATTGTTTGTGTTTCATTTAATTTAACACTGGTACGCATTTGTGTCTGCACCTACGGTCAATTTACAGTTTATTGTTCGTATGTTATGTTTTTTTCTGTTTATGATTTTGACGGTGAGCCCCTGGGCTTTTGCCTGGTAGGCCCCTTTTCTTATGCGTGTCCGTAGTGTTATGACTGCGCATGCGCAGTGCGCTCGCTCTCCGTCTGCCCTGCCTTCAGAGCGCGTTTAGCTTTACCGACTCCGGAGATTGTCTACAGTTTCACAAAATTTAGTGCAGTGACGTGAAAGGTACAGGTGAGATTTCAACCAGTGACTTGGTTTGTTATTTAGTTGTATTGGAGCTAGAAATGGTTTCAATTTAACATTCAAAGCGAACGTTAGCCATGCTAGTGCGGTCGTTAGCTGGCTAGCTTGTGTGGAATATGGGGCCGACTAATTACTGGAGTARAGGCCACCTCATGGTGTTTTCTTGGGTCTAGTCGTTTAGTAAAATGTCTCCCTTCAGTTAGGCGAATCTTTCATGATATACTGAGTCTGAATGCGGTTATAATACTTGCTTAAGTAAATAAATATAAACAAATCAAMTCGCGTTAAAAGCGACGCTTATGTCAAATTGCGGCTGTGCTAGTTKGCGTAGACGAGCTAACTTCCTTTGAACTTTGTGCAAAATCACCTCTAGTATCAAACGTGGTTTCACAGCAAGCGAGGCTCATTAATTGTAACAAACTGCATGGTTATCCAAATTCAGTGTTTTAAATGTCTAGATTTAAAGTTTGATATAATGCGCATATGACTTATTTATTCTTAACAGGTCACGAGGATAAATATTTTTAGTTACTCGGCTAGGGCGTATATTTAAACAAGGAAGTATACTGTTGCGGTAGCTGTTGCTATTCTTTTTTCCCCCAGTGCAAAGTAATTTGACTATTAAATTAAATAGTACAAAGTTGGTCTTAATAAATGCRAGCCTCTTTAGAATTTAACGTTTTTATAATAAGGTTTGTTTTACTTTTCTAGAAAGAAAAAAATCTTTGTGTACTTTAAATGACCATATTTCATTTTTATATTAAATGGATAGTTTGACATGCATTGATTTTGTACATTCATTGTTTGTCTATTTTGATTTTATGGTAACTACTACAATTATACAGTGAATTAGGTGCCTCAGAAGTTGTCATGGGTCATGTTTAATTAATCAAATTGTCACCTTGTCAAAACATATTGAAAAGTATTCAGGTGACGGAATTTGACCTCAGTTTCTGGGAATACAATCCAATGTGTTTTATATGTCCAAATCTAAGAGATATTCAGTGGAAGACAAAGGCTCATATGAGCATTTTGCTTGAAAWGTGACCCTGAGGTTGTTTATTGCACCTGAAGTCATAAACCAATCTTGTTTTTCCAGCAGACCTGAAACTCTCAGAAGACTTTTCAGTGGAATGCTGGACACTGAGTCCACTGCCATGGAGACGAATGGAAATGCATGCTTTCCTGCTGAAGGCCAAGTAGCTGAGTGGTCTGCAGTCCAGGCTTCTTTGGAACAGCTCTCCAGCGTCATGCCCGAGGACTCGGATCCTTCTCAAGACGCTCCCGTCCCGCCTCCTGTACCGGAGCAGCTGCCTATGAACTCKGAGCTAGGTTCTGTGGAGAAAGCTGTGGAGCAGTTTCAGCTTGCTAAYGCTGAGCTCTTCCAAAGTGAGCATCCGCCACCTCCACCCCCTCCACCGCCCACAGACGAGACCGAACAAACAGAACTTGCAGCGTCTCAGCCAGGGGAACCTGTACAAGACGGCAGTCAAGGTATCTAATAATATCTAGACTAAGTGTGAGGATAAGCAGTTATAAAGCAAAGAGTATAAAACTTGTATGYGTCACCATTTATTTGGATTTATTTTTTTTAAGTTGTGACACCTTTTTCTTCTCTAGATGGAGCTGTAGCACCACAAACAATGGAGGATGGCATGGAGCTGGAAGAAACAGCCAAAGAAGGTGAACAAGAAGCAGCTGTTCCTGCTGAGCCACAGCTACCGTCAGAGTTTGAAAAACTCTTCAAAGTCTGTGAGGACAACCCAGACGATTTTAATTCTTGGGTTACCCTGCTGCAATATGTGGAACAAGAGGTACCTGACTTTTGAGATCTTCTTCAATTGTACATCCATGAAATATTTACCTGGATTAAAACACTTCAGTTTTTTAAAGTGAACCCACTTTACTTGTACATAAAATATAAATTGTATTTTTTTTTTGCTGTGTTTTCACAGAATGTCCTTACAGCTGCAAGAAAGTCATTTGATCTGTTTTTCCTGCGTTACCCTTACTGCTATGGCTACTGGAAGAAGTATGCAGATCTTGAGAAAAAGCATGGCAATATACAGGTTGCAGAAGAGGTAAATGTTTTGTGTGTAATGTATTTTCTTTTCATCTGCCTTGCATTTACCTTAATTCAGCAATACTTCGAGTCATTGATAGATTTCATGTAGCAAGAGTTGAATCCTGATCATTGTTTTAATTTTTCCAAGGTGTACAGAAGAGGCTTACAGGCCATCCCTCTTAGTGTGGACCTTTGGCTTCACTACCTCACCTTTATTAAAGAGAACTCAGATCTCACTGACCCTGAGACTGAGGGACGCATTCGAGCGTAAGTACAACTTTTTATATCGTTACCGCCTAATGTGTAAATACATAGGATATCAGTAATGCATTGCAATCTGGTTATTTCAGAATGTTATATTCAACTAAGCCAAAGTTCCTTTACTTTTATTGAGTTGAATGATTTTTTTTCTATTGTCTTCAGATCCTACGAACATGCAGTGCTAGCAGCAGGCACAGACTTTCGCTCAGACCGCCTTTGGGAAGCCTATATAAACTGGGAAACAGAGCAGCAGAAGCTGGCTAATGTCACAGCCATCTATGACCGCATCTTGGGCATCCCAACTCAGCTGTACTCCCAGCACTTTCAGAGGTAAAGATCAAAAGTTAGATTTATTTAACCTATCTTTTTGATTATAGTTCTTCACCCTCCTGAGTCATATCCTATGTGCTTTGATCTGTTGAGTTTTGTGATCTTATAAAAATTGATTTTGAAATCTATTTGATCTTTAAAAGGTTCAAAGATCATGTGCAGAACAACCATCCCAAATATTTTTTGTTGGAAGAGGAGTTTCTTCAGCTCAGACACGAATTGTCGAAATCCAGCTTGTCTGCAATGGTTGGTGAAGACGGAGAGCAGAATGTCGCTCAGGAAGAGCTGCCGCCTGGTACCGAGGATCTTGCAGATCCTGCTAAGGTACACCTCTCGTTGCTTATTAGGGAAGACAAATTAATAACTTTTTGTTAAGGTGTAGGAGTTTGCCTCTCAGATTCAAGTGTTCAGGTTTGAAGAGGTGTTTTTATGTCAGCAGCCAAGCCAGTGAGTGGGATTCAACTTGGCAACCAGTCAGGAACTCACCCTATAACTAACTGAATCCATCAGGGCTTGCTTGAACCCAGAGGCTGATGTGCAGGGTACATTCATACCTCTTCCCTCTACAGGCGTGTTGTCTCTGGCAAGATCATGGTGATGTAAATCCTTGGTCCCAGCACTAGATTTGACATCAAGTGGAGAGTGGTATAAAAGAGCATGGACGTAGCTTCTAATCTCTTGTGTGTTTTCTTTTGTAGAGAGTGACAGAGATTGAGAACATGCGCCACAAAGTGATTGAGGTTCGCCAGGAAGTGTTCAATCATAATGAACATGAAGTCAGCAAGCGCTGGGCCTTTGAAGAAGGGGTATGTTTGGTTTCRTTCAATAAAGTTAGAAAAAAAAGAGTTTTATTTCTCCCATCTGCATACTAAATTCATTTTTTTTAAATTTCAGATTAAGAGACCGTACTTCCACGTCAAAGCTTTGGAGAAGACACAGCTGAACAACTGGAAGGAGTACCTGGACTTCGAAATAGAAAACGGAACCCCGGAGCGCGTGGTGGTCCTCTTCGAACGATGCCTCATCGCCTGCGCACTCTATGAGGAGTTCTGGATCAAGGTAGCGTGACCCTGAACTTCCCTTGCATCGCCGCTGCCTCCCTGCACTTCCCCATCAACGATGATTTCACATCGACACAGTGAAACGTCCTGCACTCTCTTTGCGTGTAACGTTGATATGTGACTGTATCTGTTGTATTAGGGGATGGCCAGCTTGCCACACAAGATTTGACTGCAGCATTTGCCAACTACTACGTTGCATCTTCTTCGTCTCCCCACTACCTTACAGAAACTTATCTAATTGGTTCCATGAAGGTGCTGATGGGTTTACACAGAAAATTTCTAAGAACCATCTTGTCGAAGCAAATCACTGTCTGCATCAGCTGATTTGATAGGTTTTAAATATTTTTGTCTTTCTTTTTTGCTTTTTTCTCTTTCTCTTCTTTCTTTTCTTTTTTCCTCTATCCTCTCTTGCATTCCTTCCAACTTGCTTTCTTTTTTTCACTCTAAAGTATGCAAAATATCTAGAGGGCTTCAGCACCGATGGCGTGAGACATGTCTACAAGAAAGCGTGTACCATCCATCTCCCGAAGAAACCCTCCATCCACCTGATGTGGGCGGCCTTTGAGGAGCAACAGGGTGAGGGACTCTAGATTACAGATCAGGAAAAAACAAAGTAAATGACTCAAACTCAAAGTTTTGTCCCTTTCTTTTTTTGCTCAGGCAACATGGACGAGGCTCGTGAAATCCTGATGAACCTGGAGGCGACGATTCCGGGTCTTGCCATGGCACGTCTTCGGAGGGTCAGTATGGAGCGCCGTCACGGTAACTTGGAGGGAGCGGAAGCGCTGCTGAGGGAATCAATGGAGTCTGCGAACAATCCTACTGAGGCGTCGTTTTATGCTGTGAAGCTGGCCAGGCAGCTGATGAAGATCCAGAGAAGTCTGAGCAAGGCGAAGAARGTGCTGCTCGAGGCGATTGAGAAAGACCAGGTTTGTGTATAGTGACAATATTAATCTTAAAGTTAATATTTAGTCGTTTGTTCTGGTCTGATTAAACATTTCTGTGTTTACAGACTAGCTCAAAACTTTATTTGAACTTGCTTGAGATGGAATTCAGCGGAGATATTCAGCAGAACGAGGCTGAGATCTTGGCTTGTTTCGACCGCGCCCTGAAGAGCCCCATGCCTCTGGAGTCTCGCATCGTCTTTTCTCAGAGGAAGGTTGAATTTTTGGAAGACTTCGGCAGTGACATAAATGCGTGAGTTTCTAGGTTTGTGAGTGGACAGTTATTGATTATTTGATTGTGTGTCAAGAACTGTTTTCCATCTACTTCTCACAGGCTTGTAGCTGCATATGAGGAACAGCAAAAACTACAAAAAGAAGATGAATCTTTGAAGAGGAAAGCAGAGAATGGATATGACAGGTGAGTAACGGATGTTTCTCAACACATCTGCATTTTTTWAAATTATTTTTAAGCATCTTAAGTATTAGAACAATAAAACATTTGGATTGATCGTTATAAACAAACACGGCAGCCCTCAAATGAAAACGTTTAACGTAACTTGTGCAAATTCTAAGTAGGTATTTGCTAATCTGAACGTTGTTCTCCAGTTCTCAAGAACCTGATGCCAAAAGACAACGAACAGATGACCCTTCTGCAGTTGCTGCAAACGCAATGACGGACATGTCTGCAAACAACTCTGCATACAACTACAATTGGTACCAGGTATGTTTGTTCCACAACTGGCTACCTTTTTGAATTTGTTTRTGAAATAGTCTGTGAAAATAATTTGTAATCTAGGTTCTGTTTTGTTTAAACCTGCTAAATATTGTTATAATTAATGTAATTCTTTCTCTTTGTTTTTAGCAACAATATGGTGGCTGGGGACAAAATTCCTGGGGGCAGTACAACCAGTACGCTCAGTACAACCAATACTACCCTCCTCCTCCTACATGATGATCAAACTGCTGACATGAAGATGGAAAGGAGTTCTTTCTGATCCTAACGTTTTGAGCAGAATAAAATACCTGGGTGTCACGGAGATTTCAGTTCAGCTATACAGTGCACAGAGTTTTTCTTGTTCTCACACCTTCAGGCTTAGATTTTTTTAATGTTAAACCCCCATGGTACAACACTTGGTTAGATTAGTCGTTTTTATTTAGTACTCTTTCTTTATCTTTATTTTTTTTCTTGTTTTTTTCTTTTGATCATCTCAGAATTCTAATTTGATGAAAATTGTGAAGGCAGGTTCTTTTTTGCTTTTCCCTCCCATGTGACATGTACAAAGACTTTAATTTTAGATATTGCTTTGTTTCAGATTTAAACTTGTGATGATTGCTTTCATGCATAAAGAAAATTATAGTTTTCTTTCCCAAACAACATTTTAAAAAATTTCATGCTTGTTTTCATTGAGGGTAATGAAGAGGTTTTTTTTTTATTATTATTATTGTTTTGGCTTGATTTCATAATAAAGATATTATAAATCGACCCATTTTGATGTCATATTTCTGATAGTCAATTATTATTTTCAATGCTTTATACAGTCTCCCATCTAGTTACATTTATACATTCTATACGGTACAGAAAGTACTGAGAGTTTGTGGAGCAGTGGTAGATTTAAGGCCTATAAACAAAAACTGACCTTCAGCACTTTTATGTGCTAAGTGGTTACCAGGAGAACTTTTTCCTCGCTTTAAGTTTACAATACAAATAAATATAGATGTACAAATCATATATATATATGTGTGTGTGTGTATATATATATATATATATATATATATATATATATATAAATAATATAAGAGAACATGACCCTTAGTGATCACTTCCGCCGAGTTCTGCGTGAATCTGCACATGCGCAGTGCTGCCCCCTCAGACGGTCCTTTTTGTGCTTAGCGTGGAACGATTAGCATCTGAGGAGGTATGAGCTGCTCGTTTTTCACAAAAAAACATTAAACTACGGCCTTGCAGGTCTTTCTTTCCTAATGACGAATATAAATAATTAGTTATCATATATTATGTGCTATATTTTACTCTGAAAATAAATGTTCTGTATATTTAAGCGGCTTTTTTTTCCGACACGCATGCTTCATCGTGTGGCTAATCGAACTAGCATTGTGTTAGCTAGAAACTCGGTTCAGTCTCTGGCGTAGTTTACTAATTTACTGTCTTCTTTTTTTAAGTTTCGGGGACGCATTGACAACGTATTATTTAACATAAAAGATTTGCAGCTAGGTGGATACCAGCGTTTACCGTAATTCTAAAACCTGAAACGTGCTAGCAATTTCCGCGGCAGACATCTTGTTTTCCCTGATGCCGATACAAACTTTGTCAAAGTCTAAAACGCATCAACCAGAGAATCCCTGTGTTGTGGTTTGTGACTTAAAATTAGCTGAACTTAAGTTAATTCCACATTTAGGTGCAGTTTTAAAAAGCTAATGTGATGCAACAGTAAAAATAAATATTGGATAATCAAACTGCAGTTGTTTTCTTCTAGCGTCAAGATGCAGCTGTTTTTGCGTGCCCAGAACACCCACACCCTTGAGGTGACGGGACAAGAGACAGTTGGCCAGATCAAGGTACGAAGTTTAGACTGACTGAAGGTCACTGTATTTATATTTTACTGTATTTATATTTTACACACTTTTGTTACAAGTCTAGAAAGTGGTGTAAGACAGTGTGGTGTGAATAAATGTTTGGACTTTGGTGTTTTCCAGGCCCATGTCCAGACTCTAGAAGGACTCTCTGTTGAGGACCAGGTCCTGCTGCTTGCTGGGTGCCCACTGGAGGATGACGCCTCTCTGGCATCGTGTGGTGTGTCCGAGCACTGTACCCTGGAGGTGGCTGGAAGGCTGCTTGGAGGTGAGCTCATTGTACAGCTTGTACTGATTGCCACCATTAACAAGTGTTTCGTTGATAAAGTGGCAAGCTTGAAAAAGCATTTTTGTTTTCATAGTAAATGGCACACATTGCTAAAGTTGTTTGAATATGTCCTTATGACTTTTGTTGTTGTTTTTCTTCAGGTAAGGTGCACGGTTCACTTGCCCGTGCCGGAAAAGTGAGAGGACAGACTCCTAAAGTAAGTTTGTTGTATTGTTTTTTTTAGGTGAGGTGTGCCCACCTCTCTTTTACTATAATGTGAGCTGTTTCCTATTTTCCCTTTCTTGAAACCTGTTTAGCAATATAGCTGCTTAAATGTGTATAATAGAAGTATTTTCTTCGTTTTGGCTGAAGTAGTCATATTTACAATGTTCTTTCACGTTCTCGTCCAGGTTGACAAGCAGGAGAAGAAGAAAAAGAAGACTGGCCGTGCTAAGCGTCGCATTCAGTACAACAGGCGCTTTGTGAACGTCGTGCCCACCTTCGGAAAGAAGAAGGGACCCAACGCAAACTCCTAAAGTGCTTCAATGTCCCAAAGGAGAAACAGCACCAACACCTGTCTGTTTTTACCAAGTTAAATGTTGTCCTGTACAGAATAAAGAGAAGTTTGACTTGGCTTTGAGCAGCGTTGTTAGTAACTCTGGTTTATACAGTTTGTATGTTATATACTGGTAGTTATTTTTTTAATTAAAAAAATGTCACTAGGTGCATTTAGCCAGAACAAAGTGGCCTCCTCTTCCACGGGTTAAAAAGTCTTAAGTAGATTTAAACTGCTTAGATTAATATATTACTCCAGACAAGTAGGACAATATAAATCCAAAAGTTGTCAAAAATTTAAATCTTTTTGTATGAACCAAGTAAAACAGCTTTATTGATCATTGATATTGTACATGCAAAAAAAAGTTTTATATGTACATTGACGAGCAGTTCCATACAAGTCAAGACTCAATGTTTAGTTACAAGAAAATTGACCAAATAAAGGCAAAGCAGACACGTCAGAGCTGGATTTGGTGCAGTCCAGAACCATGTAAACTTCGGTCTTTAGAAAGGAGAAAAATAAAAAGCTTACGCTGTAGACCATGTAGGCAAAATATTTAATCCACGGACACCAGCTCAACCTCAAATACGAGCTTTGCATTTGGTGGAATTCTGGTGGAACAGGAATTAAGGACAAATCTGTATAAACTGAAATTTACTGAAAAACTCCAGTAAAAACAACCTGCACTTAAAACACTAAAAAAACTAAAATCASCTTATTTCACATGACAGGCTGCACAATATTAGGAAAACGTGATGTGCAATAAAAGTGCTTAATCTTGCAATAAATGAACAAATACATAAGTATGTAGTGTTTATGCATTTCTGCTCTGGGTTCAGAACAAAAAAACAAAACATTTCAGCATGAATTTTTGAAAATACAAAGATTGAATTGGACAAATATGTGAAGGGCTCCATTTGATTGGTGAAAAACTTCATAAGTTCACATGGAAAGGCACCATTCATGCAACAACTGGTCTGTTCTTACACTTTTTAAAGGGCCAATATTATGTGTTTCTCAGGCATATATTTAAATACTATTCCATAATAAAGTATGTCACCTTTAGTTATTAAAATGCTGTTTTTATGTTTAAAGAGAAAATAAACTTATCTTCTCATCACTTCCTCTTTAAACACCTTGAAATTGACCTCTGTCTCTTTAAAAATCTTCTTCCTACCTGTCGTTTTGCTCCTCAGCATGGCTTCCTAAAAACGCTGCAGGATTTCTCAAACATGCATGAATGAGTCAAAGCAAGGCTTTGGGCATGTTTTTTTATGAGAGTATAACATAGCATGATATAAAACTCAAAAAAAGTTGATTTTACATGATATTGCCCCTTTAAAAAGACGAGATGCTTCACAGACGTAAACATGGCCGTGTCCCAGTCTTTTTATAAAATGTGTTGCCATCAAATTCAAAACAAACTTGTTTGAAACAATCATAAGATTATGTTTCATTGTTAATAAAATACAGGTTTATGAAATCTTCAAATCATTGCACAGTATCCCARCTTTGTTGAAATTGGGGTACTATATTTCAATCATTTTGATAAACTGACAAAAAAAGGATACTTGGACTCAGGAAGGCCCTTTCTTCCATACGCCCACTCAGGATCAATCTCCAGTCGGGCTGTTTCACCTTTGCTCATTGTGAGGAGGGCCTCGTCCCACTGTGACGATGACAGGAGTTGGACACGGGTGTGACAATGTAAAAACAATTCTGAGAGCACAGGCTAAATTTGACAAATAAAAACTTACCCCTCTAATGACTCTGCCCATCCCAACTTTGAAGCTCAGAGGTTTAGCCTGCTTCTTCTTCCTTGCAGCTGCATTGGAACAGTGAGGTTTGTAAAGATTAAATAAGAATTGGAGTTGTGGCAATGTAAAATGTACATCTGGGCAGTGCCCGAGCATGATTATGTTGTTTATGTGCACATTTCTAACCCCACCTGTGGGGATATTCGTGTCAAAAACAGTTCCATCTTCTAGAGAACCAGTGTACCAGCAGCTCACAGTGTCACCCTTCTTTGGGAAGTTGGTCTTGTCTCCTTTCTTTAGGACTGACTTGGTGTACTTTGGAGGACCCTGAGTTAAGCAGTGAGACATTTAATTATTATTATTTTTTAAAGTTTTTAGTTAAATCATAGTTTATATTTATTTACATGGACAAGCACCTCATCCACAACTTCTGCCTTGACTTCTTTGGGCTTCTCCTCAATCTTCACAGCTTTCATCTGCTCGGCCACCTCCTCTGGTTCTGTGCCTTTAAACCTCTGCGAAACACAAAAACACACTCCTCTCATCAGCTCTGGCTGTTGAAGCAGAAAAACAACATCACAGCCTCTTATAGCATCACTTACTTTGCTCTCGAAAAGCTGGTTGTAAGCAATGATAAGCTGGTCTTTCTTTGCTGTTTTCGCCACATTTTTTATATTTCCAAGCAGCTTGTGCTCATTAAGAAACTGAAAGAGGAAAAAGGGGAACGTTATAAGACTTATTAAAACATATAGTGTAGCTATAATAATACACTGCAGCTAGTGTTAAGACGATGTTGCAGCTTTTTTTGCTAACCCTGCAGCATCCTGCAGAAACAAAAGTAAATGAGCATTTACGTTGTATTATGGAAGAAAAACCTGAATAAAATCCAGCTGCATCTAAAGGGATGAGCATACCGAGTGTGAGGCATTGTCCTGGATGAACTTTATTAAGTCTTTTTTTGGTAAATCATCACTTTTTAGCTGCTCCTCGCTCCACTCCCGTGTCGGCTCGGTCGCCATTTTGAAATGTGAACTTTGAACTCTCCGCGGAATGTATCCGAAAACAATAAAGTTTGAACATTTTGAATTCTAAACCTAAATACTGTAATATACGTTTAGAAATCTACATTTCAGGTTTATATTTTATTTAGTCACAGTTTGGG